TCAATAAACAGAAGGCCAAACACGCAATGCTTCTTTTAAATGGAATTGAAAAATATAGGAGAACTTATTATTAAAAAAAGAATGTACTTGAAATGGGCAGAAAATTTTAATTGAAAAATGATCAATGTTTTAAACAATTTGCCGCTGATTTAATATCTTAATTGGTTACTAAATGGTTGGATTACCTTTTCATAGACGCTAATTAATCTGACGCTAAATATTACCAGGCGAGAATGTTTGTTATAATTCTGAATTTTGCCTTGGATTTTGTTTGGTAGCAGCCAGGAATTTCATTTTTCACTTGAACACAATTGGTTATAATAGCCCGCATTATTTTTATCCAACTAATTATGCTGTGCTCAATATCTTTATCTATTCCCATTTTCTATCCTTTGTCAATTATCTCGCCGCATATTAAATATCTCATCTGTTTTCATTTATCACAGTTTCTTGTGTTATTTTACGGATAATCTAAAAATTAACAACTTGAAAGTGTTTTGTTTTCTCTCTATAGACGTCTATGTTCTTGTAAGGAAACTAAGGGAAAGGTTTTCTAAGAACCTCTATGTTGAGTTCTTTACTCAATTTTGGCATCCCTAAAGGCCTCGCGCTATTTCACAGCACCCATTTCTGTGTAAATACTCGCTCGCGCTATTCTGTGACTCGTAAGCGTACTCTCACTTCTGCGCATGCCGAAACGAGACACAACCAGGGGTAACCATTCCATCAACAGTAGTTTCGATGACTTTTCAAGAGTCAACTCCAACATACTCTTGGGCCTGGGTTTCAACAATTTTGTCCGAAGCACTATTTATGTGGCAAAGACTGAAGTATTAAGCATATTTTGGCCATTCCTAGGGGAAAATGGCGAAAGAATTATGGGGGGTTTGATCGATATTAGTGAAACCCTAGAAAGACAATGGCATATTAAAACTACTTTCTCTGAATTTCGGCCGATGTAAGATTCAAATTCGAATTAATTTTCCTAATTAGCTAATACCAGCATCAAGTTTGTCAAGGAAAACCTGCAAATCAATCATTACCCATGAAGGCAAAGTTGTAGTGCCAGTATACATTAGATCATGCCATATGGTCAGCCAATCCTCCGCCCTTGTGTGCTTATGAGAAAGATTAGCAGATATTGAGAGAAATGGATGGATGGGTTGCACTACATCATGACTACTGCAGTTGCAATCGTGAGCTCGGACGGACGTAGGCTGACACACGATTCTGGTTTGTACTATGTCAATAAAATTTGCAGTGTTACAGCAGTCCTCACTACACTCTGGAACAGGTTTGGACCATCCTTATAGGCCATAATGAAGAGTGAGGAAAAAGATTTCCGCAGATTTGCCCAGTGTAAGAAAAAGAACTTTGACGTAATGTCTTTTTAGAAACTCGGAGCATGAATTTCGGCTAGTGAAGTTTGCTATTTACACCGTTTATTCAGCAGTTAGCGACAGCCAAGCGGATTCCACGTCTGTACATTTAATTTCCGCAGAAAGATATCAGAACTACACTCGAACCAGCAAATTTTGAAACTAAGGTCCACTTGAATGTCAACAAAATTTGGTTATCTTCTGAAAATTAACACATCATTAAGCCTAAATAATCGACAGCTATTAATGTAATTGGTACAAAGTTATCCCGCACAAGCACACTGAGTATTATCAATCAACGCGCTGCGTTTGAGATGCAAATCGCAAACATTAATCGGTTGTGCTGAGTTGAATTTGGTGCAAAGAATCAGCGCTGCGTTTGTCCTCGGGAGGTTCAAACTCAAACCTCGGCCCCAATCAAATCAACTCTACTGACCCCTCAACGATAGAAATTGAACGAAACGCAGACTAAACAAATATTTTTGCTGCCAAATTCCAATTTTAATCCCGCGGATCTCGTTAGGATTACAAACCACAGAGAAGGCAACATCAGTGCAAGCCAAATTAGTAGTTCGCAAGCGCACCAAATCATGCCTATGTGGCAGATTTGACCTGGTTTGGAGATAAGGCAACAAAAATAACCCAAACAATGAAAGAACATACTAAATTTCAAGGCATCAAAATACTTTATCAATCGAAAAATAAGAGAAGATGTGTGATTCTAATTATAAGCACGCTTCCACGATACACGCATATGTACAAAGGCAGGCGACGGAAGAATTGAGGCCCTTCATGGAGGTGGTATGCTAGCTCGTAGGGAAAGGTGTCTGACCTGTGCGTTGAGATTGGTGTGCTGATCGCAGAGTTCCTGCAACTCACCCGACAATTCATTGTTTAACCGCAGCAGCGTGTAATTGGTGGACTTAGCGGCGCGAACCAAACTGGCCAATTGGCGTTTCCGACGCAGGGCTGGGAGAGAAAGGATGCTCTCTGGGCTGCGGCGCGTGAACTTACACAGCACCTCAACCGGATCAAGTGACTTTGAACTAGAAAGAGGGGGAGCACTGAGTCCTGAGATGATAAACTTACACAAAACAACCGTTTTACCCGCAAATGCCAAATAAAGCTAATTGGCTAAAAGACCAGTGAGGCAGATGTGGCCTACCTTTCAGACACTGAGCAGACGCTTTCGTTTCGCTGAACAGCGGACAAGGGGGACGACGAGGAGTCGTAACTACCCGATGAAGATGCCGAGGGGTCAGCAGTGGAACTGTTGCTGCTTCCGGCGGACGAGGAGACAGCGGATGAGGAGCGACTCAAGAGGGCCGCAGACTCACCTCCCCCAAGGGGAAGGCGAACGCGTCGAACAGGGAGCAAAGCCCTCACACCAGTTTCATCCCCGTCATCATCATCAGCATCGACGTCGTCATCATCGTCAGTGCCCGCCTTGGGTTCTGCGGCCTCCTCGTCTTCGGAGAACTCAAAGGTTTCATCCTCGGAGACGTTGGTTTTGCGTTTGTGAGGCGTGTTGGAAAAGGACGATGTGCTGGCTGGTGGGGATCTGCTCAGCGCTGAGCCACGACCAACTCCTATTGAGGAACAAAAAATCCAAAATTATGTACATTTAAAGTGCAGACTCAAGGGCAATTTCAAAGCTTCAAATCCTAAAATTAAGTCACAAGAAGCACTTGTCTAGGCCTAATGTGGTTTGGCAAATTAGAGCTTGGATAAACGATGACCAATCAGATGGACGCATTAGGGAACTGACTTCGATTGGTGCGTAGAGAAGCACAGAACTCACGTGGTGAATCGCCTGTGGCGACGATACTCACAGAAACAGGGGAAAGAAGGAAGTCGTGGCTTTCATCGTCACGAAGACCGTCAAAGTCATGTTGTCGTTGTTGGTGTGTGGAAGGCGCAGACGAGAATTGGCGACAGTCGTTGCCGCCGCCGCCGCCGCCGCCGCCACTTCGAAACGCACCAACTGGACTGCCTTCTAGCAGACTGAAGCCAGTTGATGAATACTTTTCAGCCAGATGAGCTGCTAGGCAATACTCGGCTTCGGTTAGCATTAGGTCGCCATCGCTGTCCACTTGCTTCCTAGTGAAGACAGAATAACGCGAAAATAACACGCTGTACACGGCCATTGTTGTCCTTCTGCCCTACCAACATACTCGTGCTGAAACGGGACAACCAGAGCAACAACCTGGACACTATTGCTAGAGAGGGTAGATATTTGCCAGTCACTGGCATCTTCAGCCCCGTTTTCCAGTCCATTCTCCGACTGTGGTACTCAGTTTCGCGGTCCCTACCACGTTCTTTGATGAGAGCGCTCAAAAACAACCGAATATCACTCGGAATTCAATAAAGATTTAAAAAAAAACCAATTTCTGGATCATCGCGTACCTACCCCTAACTAACGCCACAAAAAGGTACGCCATCGCGGTCGAATCCGTTTAAATTTGTGATGACGGCGTTGCTGCAATCGAAGAGTTTGGTTTTAATTGGCGTCAGCCGAGTTCCCCATTTTTTTGTCATTGAATAACGACGACCGATCACATGGCATGATCGTAACTATGCATCAACAAACAATAACCCCTGCAAAGGTCGTTGTCTGGTGGTCCATCATTTCTATTCAAGGCAAAGTTGTGATAGCCTGTTTGCACCAAAAAATTAGCTATTTCTGGCACAAAATTTTTCTTCTTACGAATACCTACGTATTGGCAAATTCCACTAAATTCAACACAGCACAGGTTGTACGCTTGTCTTTAGCTCCAGCGTAATCCATACGAATCCACAGCTTCGCCAGCTGCACCAAATTAACGTGGTGAACGTACAAAAGCATAGAAGTACAAGCTGAATTACTTCATGTCTAGATAAGGCCGTTAGACGTTACCTACCATATGTTGATTGCCACAGACGAAGAGAGTCCGAATTGTTTAGGGAAGAGTCGAGAAGCATCATCCCATTTGGCGCGTGGTGCATCCTCTTGCTGGTGAAGTTGAGCCAAATCAAGAAATTGCTCCGCAAACTCCCTTCTTCGTGGAATGGAAGACAGCATCTGTTCCAGGGACGATGGGTCGCCTGACGTACCGGATACTGACAGGTCAACTGATTCTAAAAAAAGGGCACACGGGTTCCTCCAGGTGAATTTCCAAATCGATTGATTTGTTCAGGAATGGCGTGAAATGGAGTGTACCTCTAAATGGACTTTCACCGAACTTTGTGTACTGAGGACTCTCTGGTGCATCGGCATCACCGCTAGTAGGTGACGAAAACGTGGAGGAACCTTTGCCACTGGAAGACAGAGTTAGAGATGTGGGTCTGTGTTGAGAGCTTGCTCGGTTTACGTCCGATAGCCCAACAAGCTGATCAGCTGATTGGATGCGTCGAATTATTTGGTCGTCAGCTGGCGACTCCGAATCGAGGAGGAGGGAAGAATCATTCGAATGGTGATGAGCTTCAAGGTTCAAAGAAGTACCCAAAATAAATACGAAATTGCGAGCACAAAAGGAGCACAAGCCTGCACAAACATACCATTGGTGACAGTCCGGAAGGCTGAAGACAAATTATCCAATTTGGTTAGAGTTTCAAAAATATGTGAGTCGCTTGCCATGACTTACTGCGAAAGGACTAAATTAGCATCATTGAAACCTAGCAAAGGAGAAAAATAAGAGTAGATCATAAAGATTCCAGTGGAAAGTAAAAACCTTACTCAGTGAGCAGGATTCAATTTCACACATTAAGTTTGAAATGTCAAGATTGGCCATAAAACGAAAACTATGATCATAAGCAGGCTTGGAACCTATACAACCATAATAATTGGATAAACGCACCCTTGTATTTGAAGGTTAAGGCATTAAAATAACTGTACAAGAGTGTCAGCGACGACAACGTGCAAAAGCACTAAAGCATGCCGCTATTAGTGGCAAAATAAACAAGGCATTCCTGTGTAAAGAGTCCTCTTCCACAGTGAATTGCAAATTTAAAAAAAATGTGACTTTGACGGACCTCACTTAAGCTAGACTTTGGTGACTACTGCAAAAAACACTTAATGAGATAAGAACATTTATTTTTTTTAATTTAAGCCTCTATAATGCTTAAGAGCACAACAGAATTATTTTCAATTATGCGAAAAATAACAAACATGTGTTTGTATGTCTTTGAATCCAGAAGTACGTTCATTAGTTTTTAGCGACAACTTATATTAAAATTAGAGAGCCGAATTATACACACTAGAACCGCAAATTACACTTCTTTAGATAAAAAAAGCAGTGCATTATATGTTAGGATTTTTAACGCACAACAATGTTTATGATATGTTTCAGAATCTACAAAGAAAATCACTAACGCCCTCATAATCACATACTTTCACAAAAAAGCGAAAGACAAATTTCACATTGGAGGTCCTTCAAATTGCGCGCCTAATTAAATCATTGCAAGCATTTCGTTCATAAGATGCGGGAAATATTGAGCCAAGTTTGACTAAGAATAACTTATCAAAACTCTAAAAAATAAGTAATTATTAACAAAATGCATCGCATTGTGGTGAAATAGTACTTCCATCTTACAATTTTGCTAAGTATTCGTCATTAAATGATAAAGCAAAATTATTTGTTTATTTCCAATACAATTAAATTTATGTAACAATAAATTGTGCCTTTTTTGGCAAATAATTATTTAATTTTATTCATACTACTGTAAATTTAGTGATGAATAGTTGCCATGGTCAATCACATTGGTTGCATCTCCTAATGGTGTCGATGCCATAATTGCGTTCATATTAAGACACATAGCCTAAATTCAAATTAAGCAAATTAAGCAAAATAGCATTCAACATCAAAGAATACAACAATCAAATAAGTAACACTCCTGTGATGCTAAAATCTAAAAATGTAAGGCATTACCAATAATTTAGCGAATTACTTGGCGGCACGGTTGCGAGGCTTCAGGTAATTGGCAAATTTACAAGAAAACTAAATTAGGCCAATCAAAAAATCCTTGGTTGCGATTATATTTTTCTTTGTGTTCTTAATTGTACCCGTGATACACAAGAGACTAGGGGCTTGCAAACCGTCAAATCATTTCAGACTTTGATAAAAAGCTACTTTACATGAAGGTAAATAAACGTATTTGGCGTGTAAACATTTTACTGCATTAAAGAATTGCAGATGTTAGGGTCATCTAAGGGATTCAGCATATCAAAAAATTTTCACGTCAAATGACATTAATTCTATTTATTTGCAAGGGGATTTGGGAATATCATCACTATGATCGTTATAATGTTCATTAATCGAGTCAAATAAGTGTGGTTTATATGAAATCGACTATGCCCTAAGCCACAATTTCGTAAATGATCTTTTGAAGTAACTGCAGTAAAATCGTGTTGATTCCCGTTCAATAATGCGGTTGTCGCAGTCTCACACACACACACGAACCACTCTTCACGGCATGTCCATCAGTCACATGCAACCACCTCCTAATACACATTCTGTATGCACTAATTATTTCCACTTTATCCATGTAACCAACCAGACCTTTGTATTTGAACTAGTCCACTTAACTGTATCATTCATCAAACATACAATTTAGTTGAGTAAACGGTTGTGTCTCGTCCTCTCCGGTCTTCTTCATCTTCGCGGGCACTCCGGAAAACGTTATGGGATAAGATTGATGCAGTGGCTTCGACGTGACTCAAGCCAACGCGCTGGGGCGTTTAACAACACAACGTCCTTGGTTGAATTTCGTAGATTTCGAGAAGAACATCGGATCTAATAAACACGCTATTATAGAATTTCAGACCAAATATGTGGTCATGACATTCACGTTTAATGAATGCACTGATTTTTCTCTCACTGTGTAAATGCATTATCGTTGACATACCATTTTGACAGATCAAACTACATTAAGATTTCATTTTTGCACGAAGTGAATAAATAAGAAAAGTGAATATTTTATTTTCGAAAAAATAATTAAATCGTAAATAAGAAAAACATTTACGGCCTGTGCTTCGAATTCAAACAACAATTTGCAGTTTTCGCATTTTTTTAAAAGTGCTGTGTAACAGCAATTTATCTGCTTTTATTGCATAATGCCAAATGCATTGATTTTCTCTCAATGTGAATATACATTATCTTTGAAATGCGGTGTTGAGATATCGAATTTCATTAAGATTTGGCTTTTGCACTAAGTGGGTAAACAGGGAGGGCGTATATTTCGTTTATATTTTCAAGGCAATTGAACTGTTAAAAAAGAAGATATTCACTGTATGTGTTTAAAATTCCACCACTACTGCCAATTTCAACATATGTTACAAGTGCTGTGGTAACAACTGTAGTGAATCGTGTTGATTCACGTCCAATAACCCTGTCCTCGCAGCTTTCAGCGCACCTCCCCCCTTGTCACGTGAG